CCTCCCTCAAGCTATTCGGCAGGCATGCTCTGTGGAGGTTTTTAAAACTAAGCTGAAGACACATTTGTTCACCCTATCCTACATGTCTTAATTCTATGGCTTTTAGTTTTTAAATTTTTACTGTTTTTAACTTGTATTGTGTCTTTTACCTGTATTGCTATGTATCGCTTTTATTTTATTTTTTTCATCTTTTTAGTTTCAAATAGTTGTACAGCACTTTGTTTGAAAGCACTTTATAAATAAAGTTATTATTATTATTATTATTATTAAAAGCAGCAATGATGGTGGAAAGCGGCTAAATCTGTGAGGAAAGTTTAATATATTCAGGGGTGCACATAAGTGGTTCGCAGGTGCGTATTCGCTGTCAAAATAAAAGACACGCACGAGATAAGAAGTTGCAACGCGCGTTTGCGTACATAAGATTTTCTGGAGGAGGACACACATTTGTTTAGAACTCTTAAAGATGTCGAAGAAGCAAGCTCCTTTAAGCAATTACTGTGATGTTCCTCCACCTCCAAAGAAATGTCAGAAGGAGTCCGAACCACAAAAGAAGCGCTTATTCTCGGAAAAGTGGTTGCAGGAAGTGAGCTGGCTTCAAACAGATGATGAACGCACAGAGATGTGGTGCAGAATGTGCCGTGAAAATCCCACTCTAGCGGACAAAAACAGTGCTTTTATATGTATGTAAATGCGCGTTGCAACTTCTTAGCTGGTGCGCGTCTTTTATTTTGACAGCGAATGCACACCTGCGGACCACTTATGTGCACCCCTGAATATATGACTGGTTCTGTGACACGAAATAAACTTTTAAGATATTTTCATGTGAGAATGTAGACATGTAAGCTTCAAATATCTGCTCGATTTATCAAGACGTCACCTATGTGCAAAAGTGCTCTGATGTTTTCAGGCAATGTAGTCACCCCACCAGCTGTCAGCTGACTGGGAGTTGAGAGTCACTAGAACCAGTAAGAACCCCTGACTCCTGGCACACTGTTTTCGATACTTTTCAGAATATTTTATAAATCCCTGAGGAAATTGTGTGGTTACAGTCGCTCCAAGATAATAACAGTAACAGACTGAACTAAATTAAATAATACCATATATTACAAAGTTACAAATATAAGAAAACTTTAAAACTTTGTTATTTTCACTGTAGAGGATGTCCAATAGGGTGTAACTATTGGACTGTGTACTGTAGAGCAGGGCGATATGGCCAAAAATATTTATCACGATATATATTTGAAAATTTGCGATAACGATATAACTGACGATATAATT